TGGCCAGAGAGTACGAGGGCTGGATGGGGTTTTGGTCAGGTTTCGGGGCACGGCGCCACATGTATAGTATATGGTACGCTACCAAGCCCACTACAGTCCTCGCCGAGAGCTGAAACGCACGCTGCGCTTCAGGTTCTCACGGTTTGTGTTCCGCCAGTTACCATAGTTACCGATGTTAAAGGTCTCTTGGATGGCCTCGCCAAAGGGCCCACATGGCGCCTGGCGGCTAGAAGGAACAATCGAGATCTGTGGGAGGCCCTCTGGGCCAAGATCGTGGATCTTGGAGGCCTGGGGGATGCTGTCGAATTCGAGCTTTGCCGTGGGCGCCAGCGAGGGCGGAGCGAGACAGCGCGAGGTAACCGATGGGCCGACGCGGCTGCCACCTGCGGGCGCGACCTTCACTGCGCTTCCCCCGCCTCACGCAGGGCCATGGCAGTGGCCTTGCGTAACTACAACATATGGCTTCAGTGGATTGTCCAGGCGTTTGCTACGTTTGGCGAGGCGGGCAGGCCCCCCCCCCCCCCCCCCCCCCCCGCAAGAGCCGCGTCTCACGGCGCGCACAGGCCACTCAGCCCGAGCCTGCCAATGATGTGCCAGCACACCTTCGGCATGTCATGGAGCGTGTCCCACATAGGCAGATGTTTAAAGTGTTTTCTGCATGGATGGGGCCAAGACACCCAAGAGAATCGGTCGTCTCTCCTCTCTCTCCTGCTCTGCTCGCCTGCGGATGGGTGAGGGTGTGCCCGAGCTCCTGGACTCGCTGCCCTCGCGTGCCGAGGGTGGCCGCGAGGCTGCGGCCCGGGGGGGGGGAGGGGGGGGCATGGCCAGCTCCCCGCCAGCCCTAGAGCTGAAGGTGCACTGCTCATGGGCCCTCCCGCTGAGGGGCGTGCCCAGCATCAGGAGGGAGGGGCTCCAGGAGGGGACAGTGGCACCCCTGATGTTGCCTCTCCTGCTTTCGTTGACGTCGGCGTGTCGGACCTCGCTCGCGCTACTGGTCGTCGGTCGTTCAGCTCGGACTCGTCGGGTGACGGCCGCCGTGTCCGCAGACGTGTGTCCTTTGATCCTGTTGTGTTGATCCGCTCACCTGCCCAGGGGCAGCAGGAACGGGCGACCCAGCGAGTCGAGGGAACTGAGAAGGACGGGCCTGCCTTCATGCCATCCAAGAGGCAGAAGGTGGGCCCGCGCAACCCCCGTCCCGCCCTGTCAGCCACCACAGTGCCTGCTGCCCCCTTGCCTACCAGTGGCATCGTCCCGCCCGAGTCGGCTAGGGGGCACAGGTGCTGGGTGTCCCCAGGGGAGGTGGTCTTGCGCATACGATGTGGTTTCTATACCACGGTCCTGGCAGGCCACCTGTTAATTGATTGCGCGCCCCCGCCTCGCGTTGACCTAATGACTGAGCGGGCGACGCGCAATCGCAAGCTATTTCTCGAGAGGCGTCACCCTGCTGACGAGGGCCGTCCGAATGGACGCGCCAGCAGACAGCCACGGCCCCTCCGAGTAGATGACCCCGAGGCCATTTGGTTACGCCTTGGGCCTGCAGGGGCCCACGGCTAGTTTCCCTTGTTTCGGGGCTCCCCCGTTTTGGGGGGCCGCTTTTTGGGCCCTGGCCCAAAGTCGTGCTGCCGACCCGTCGCGCGGCCTTGCTTTTCTCCGTCGCGGCCACCTCCGCGGACCCGAGGGGGGGAGGTGGCCGCTCAACGACGGCCGAGGCGACGCTTGCGTCTGTTTCAGTCTCCTGTGGCGGCCCTGCGCTTCGACTGCGCGGCCGCTCCCAGCCAGTGCCTTATCCTCCCCGTCCTCGTGACCCGACTGTTGCACAGAGGGGCCCCTGTGCATCGATTCCGTTTCACACAGGTTGATATTGGCAAGGCGAGCGGTGATGTCGCAGCGGGGCAACATATGGAGTTGTTGTTCCTTGGTAGCGGCACTTGAGACGTATTATTGTGATCGCCGTTTTTGCAGATCTTCTGCGATCATCTTGCCTCGTGTGTGCGGTGGTTGGGGGCCTTCGGCCTGGCTTGCAATTCGCGTTGTGTGCGTCTTCGAGGAAGCAACGGTCGAACCGAGGTATAAGACCGAGGCCGGTTCGGAGACGGTGCCCTAATTCATGTTCTTCGTGTTTAACCGTGTTTGGTGGCTGTTTTTGTGCACCCTGCGGGAGGGCACCCTCGAATGTTCTTCAGTTTGTCCAGCGGAGGCTCTCATGTTTTGGAGGGTGTTGTTCTGGCCGTTGTCGAATGAATCTGACCGGCGTCCCCTGCACGACCAGGGACGATGGGCTTCAACGACCGTGTGCCCTCCGCGCTGTACCTGTGCCAGCATTTGCCGCCGCTGCTTCTGCCCCCCTCTTCTCATCACACGTTGCATGGATCGATGGAAACTGAATATTGTGGTGCGCGCGCTGCGGTGAACAAAATAATATCCTCCTCCTCCTCCTCGTCCTCCATCTCTGCTTCTCCCCCAACTGTCCTTCCACATCTTCGGATAATGCTTGCGCAGGACCGCCAGGGCTTGAGGAGATGAGGAGAAGTACATTCAGTGGGGATTGGTCTCCCGCGCAGTTTTGTAGAGTTGACTATAGTCAATCGGACGGCCCCCGTCTCGTTGGACTGCCACCACCGCCACCTTCCACCTTCACATCCCCCCTGCCAGCCCCAGTCTTGCTTCGCCTTCCCCGAGCCGTCGACGGCCGACGGCTCCCTGGGGGGCCGCCTCGCGCCACCCGAGCGACAGCCCGCTCCACTCCTGCACCCCCCCCTCTGGGCTCGAGCTGTTTTTGGTGCAGCCGCTGCCCGTGGCAAGTGCGCGCAGCCGAGTAGGTCTTCTGTCGCGGCGACAATGAAAGTGGTGCCAGGGGGGGGAGGAGGAGGAGGAGGAGGAGGAGGAGGAGGAGGAGGAGGAGGAGGAGGAGGAGGACGAGGAGGAGGAGGAGGAGGAGGAGGGAGGAGGAGGGAGGAGGAGAGGAGGAGGAGGAGGAGGAGGAGGAGAGGAGCAGGAGGAGGAGGAGGAGGAGGAGGAGGAGAGGAGGAGGAGGAGGAGGAGCAGGAGAGGAGGGAGGAGGGGAGAGGAGGAGGAGGAGGAGGAGGAGGAGGAGGAGGAGGAGGAGGAGGAGGAGGAGCAGGAGGAGCAGGAGGAGGAGGAGGAGTCTTTTTTTGACTGCACTTAGCTCGTTGCAAGTAGCTTGAGCGGGGCGGCCGCAGGTCGGCTAGGCGGCAGACAGAGCCCGCCTAGCGGGCACTACAAAGGATCTCCGCTCCTGGTCCGTCCGCAAGCAAAAGCGATTCTTCGCCATTGGACCTGCATGTTGGGCGGGGGAGGTATTGGCACCGAAGGGGAGGCAGGGGGAATATATGAGGAAGAGAAGGGATCGGTGCCGTGCGAGAGTCACTAAGCGCGCCAGCTAGGCGTTGCCCTATGCGGGCAGCGCTGAAAGACCGAAGAGCAGCACAGCTGGCCTCAGGAACGGCCACCTGGGAGCATGGCTTAGCCATGGATAGAGGAGGAGGAGAGGGAGGAGGGGGAGGAGCGAGCGAACGAGGAGAGCGAGCGAGGAGAAGCGGGAGGGGCGGCGCCTGCCATTGAGCGACGAGGGCCAATCACGCGCGCGAGCCGGCTCCTGACCGGGCCCACCCGTGGGTCCAGGACAGGCGTGGCGTGCCTCCTTGGCCAGGCCAGGATGGGGTCTGCGCCGATCCTTGGCAGAGGATGGGCCTGGACAGGGTCGATGTCCAGGGGCAACGTTGGGGGGGGGATCGACTCAGGTGGTGGGACGCATCGACCCCCGATCGCTTCTTGATCGCCGATGGGGGCCCGAGAGCCCCACCCGGCCCAGGACCGTTCGAATTCGCTTTCGGGTACCTATCGCCGATCGATCCAGCTGCCTACGGCACGTCCCGCCACGGGTTGTGGCTATGAAGACTATTGGATGTTCGTTTGGATCTCTTTGGAGGCCTCTCAGGTACCTCTTGGAGACAGTTTTGAGACCTATTGGGGGCCGTTTGGGGGCCGCTTGGAGGCCTCTATGAAACCTCTTGGGGGCATCTTGGGGATCTCTTTGGGGCCTCTTGGGCCGTCTTAGGGCGCTCTCAGGCCTGGAGCCCTCTTTGAGGCCTCTTGGGTCGTTTTGGGCTGGTCTTGGGTATCTCTTGGGCCGTCTTGGAGCGTCGGAAAGCCGAAAAAACAAGAACGCAACAATCCTAAAACAATAGGAACATCAAGGATGTTTGCCTCTTGGGGCCCTCTCGGGAGGCGTCTTGGAGGCCTCTTGGCGCATCTTGGAGGCGTCTTGGGCCATCTGGTGGCCATCTAGGGCGTCTTCGAGCGATCGTTCGGCGACCCAGGGCCCTCATGGACCGTCTTGGAGGCCTCCTGGGCCGTCATGCAAGCCTTGCAGAGCCCCAGGGAGGCGCCCCCTGGCCGCCCAGGGACCCCCCAGGAGCAGGGGCGAGGAAGGCAGGGAAGTGTGACCAGGGGGAAGGGGGGGGTCCCTTAGAAGACTGCAGAAGCCCTGCCAGGCAGCCCTTGGCAAGCACTCTTCCGCGACCCGGCGTGCCGCAGGCAAGGCGGTGGATTGGCGATGAATCGCCGATTCCAGGTCGATGTCCCCCGAGCCATTCCCACCCAAAACGTCCCTAACAGGGTGTGTGCAAAGAGTTCTCTTTCTTGTAAGCCATCTATATATGTGTATACAGACACATCTATCAACGCCGATCCTGGGCCCAGACCTGGCGCACACAATCCATTGGACTGGGGACACTTTGATTTCGGAGGGGGCTCGAGGTCCCACTGGATCTTTCATTCTAGTTTCCTCGAGCGCTCCGTTGAATCCACGTTAGCGCGGCAGGGGTCAGAAAAGGGTATCAATATTTGTTTGGGATGTCTCGGGGCAAGACCTTCATGGTACGCCTTCCTGACCAGGCCAGGAGGGCGCGTACACTGATCCATGGGCAAGGATGGGTCTGAGCAGGATCGGTGTTGGTGTATAGTCAGCTCCTGCCCAGGTGCGAGATTCGAAATTCCGCCACGTTTTCGGCGACGCCCAGAAGACGAAGTATGAGGACCTCCGCTTAGCCACGAAAGCCACCGAGTCCACGGGGCTCCGCGGGAACTCGAAGTTCGTCACCTTTGCCTGGGAGTCGGGGGGCGGTGGTCGGTGATCGAAGTTCCATCTCTACCCGTGTTGCTGCCACCCAGACCTCCGACATTGTGAGTGCCTCACCTTCTGCGGTCTTTATTTATTGTTTCATTTCGGCATCTAGAGAAACGTTTCGAGCCCAGGACCATCGAACCGCTACTTGGGACGAAACCAGTCCCCGGGAAGGATCCGATAGGTTCAGGGACCCTGAGTTGAAACAGCACGGATTTGGCAGGCGTGGGCCCCCCAGCTCTTGGCGGCAGTGGGGCTTGGAGTGGCAAGACACGGAGAAGCGTAAGTTCTCCTGCAGGGGATCGGTTCACGCAGCCGTGCCACCCTCCCCAGCCCCCTCGGAGAGTTTGGGCAGGAGCCGAGGCATGCAGGCACGGTGGGGGCGTTCGTTAAGGATTGTGCCCAAGAGGCTGTAGAACGTTGGGGATTCCTTATCCCACGGGGGCGGCAGTGATAGCCATGGCCGATCCATGATTGGAGTTCCATCGGCTTCCAGACCCTGGATTCCTTATCTCAGACCCCCGGAGACCAGGACACAGATAAACCAGAACACGGAGAACCAAGGAAACGACATCCTTTCCTGCAAAGCCCGTGCATGTTTTGTTTGCTGCACTGCAGGATTCGGGTTTGTGTCCGGGTTTAGGGGTGCCTTGCAGGCTTCTGGGGCTTGTGTCCGGGTTTATTCTGGAAGTGCTGCAGTGCAGTATTTTGTTCGTGCCGCCGTTTGGAAAAATTGGCTTCGAGGGATGTTGGGTGTCCGGTTCTAGCGTGTACGGGTCTACGGGGCCCTGATTATCCAGTGGTCCCTTCTCCAATGCCCCCGGAGTGTGGATGGAGCGTCGGTCTTCCAGGTGGCACCCTGTGCGTCATCCCCGCAGCCAAGTACGGCCGCTGCCCACGGGACATACCGCTGATCACGGGGCACACAGGGCCGATCCTGGATTTCGAGTTCAACCCCTTCGACGACAACCAGCTGATCACGGCGAGCGAGGACCTCACGATGAAGCTGTGGCAGATCCCCGACGAGGGGCTGAAGGCACACATGAAGGACCCACTGCTCACTCTCGAGGGTCACGGCAAGAAGATCTCGTTTGCGACCTTCAACCCCGTCGCAAGCCACATCGTGGCTTCTACGTCTTTCGACATGACGACCCGGGTCTGGAACCTCGCAGAGGAGGCGGAGGCTATCAGGCTGGACGTGCCGGACCAGTTGTGGTCGCTGCAGTGGAGTCACACGGGCTCTTTGCTGGCAGCCACCTGCAAGGACAAGACATTGAAGATCATCGACCCGCGGGCAAAGGCGATAGCATCGGAGGTCCCGATCCACGACGGCACTAAGGCGTCGAAGGTCTGCTGGCTCCCGTGCACGGGCGCCGACGACCTCAACCGGTTGGTGACCACAGGATTTTCCAAGCAGGCCGAGCGACAGATGGCCGTCTGGGACATGAGAAAGTTTGGCGGAGACGGGGGCGACGCCAGGCTGCAGGAGCTGGAGTTGGACAACGGCACGGGGGCTCTGTTCCCGTTCTTCGACGAGTGCACGCAGATGCTCTACGTCGCCGGCAAGGGCGACGCCAACGTCCGCTTCTTCGAGGCGACGACCAGTGAATTGCACTACCTCTCGCAGTACAGCTCGACAACTCCGCAGAAGGGCTTCGACTTCCTTCCCAAGCGGTGCGTGAACGTGGACGTCCACGAGGTCGCCCGCTACCTGAAGCTCGAGAGCAATGCCATCCTGCCTGTCTCGTTCAAGGTGCCGCGGAAGAGCGAGGCGTTCCAGGAGGACCTCTTCCCTGACTGTCCTGCCGGCGTGCCGTCCATGTCCCCAGACGATTGGGTGTCGTCGACGGACTCGAAGCCGCCAGTCCTTCGCTCCATGAGGCCAGGCGCAGAGACGTCAGCCGGACCGGCGAAGGCAGCTGTTGCTGTGGTCTCCGTCAAGGACTTGAAAAAGCAGCTTGCCGAGGCTCAGGCCAAGATCAAGGAGCTGGAGAAGGAAAACGAGCAGCTGAAAGCCAAGCTTGCGGAGGTCGGGAGCTGAGTGTGGGTGAGGCGTAGAGGACCTTGTTGCAATTAGCAGTTCGTGCCCATGCATACATGTGCATACAATACACATTGCGGAGGTCAGCTGAATGTGGGTGAGTCGTACAACGCCTTGCTGCAGTTAGCAGCGGGTGCCCGAGCGTACATGCAATAAACAGTTCACTCTCCCGGGGGCTTTGATCAGCCGGATTTGACGTCCAAAGCCGACCTGGCCCTCCTCCGCCCTCGACCCTCCACTCAGCCAGACTCTTGACACGGACAACTCCTTTTGCGGAGCTTTCTTTCATAGCGGCGCTCTCCAGAGGAACACACGTGCCCGGGCTCCAGGCCCACATCTCCCCCCCCAGGTGGGCGTGGGTCTCAGGGCCCACAGGCCGCTCCCCCTAAAGATGGGATGGGGTGGACGACGGCGACAGTGATGAGGAGGAGGAGGAGGAGGTCACATGGTTCATATCTAAGTATTCGAAAGTTCTTTGCTTTTATTGGGGGGCCAAGATCCTTTCATTTCTAATTGTTCTATCCTGGGCCTCTTCCTGGCCACTGGGGGGCCAGGAACAATTAGAAACGAGTACAGTCAGAAATGAGCACGATTAGAAATGAACGACGTGTAC